TGTGTTGTTGGCAGGGTTTGAGGAGGCTAATGAGTGACACCCCTATTTTCTCCACATAAATTCTGAACAAATTGAGCGAGACAAGGGAGTAAGGCAGAGAGAGAGAGGGAAATTTCTAGCAATGTTCCTTATAGAACTGATGGAGAACGTAGCTTAGACATGTGGCGACGTCAGGATTCCCGCTGCTGCAACTTAAAACTAGAAGGACTTACCCCACCCTTCAGGATACCGAGTGTAGGTGCCGTCAAGTTTTCTATGAAAAACACAAGATGCAAGCGAACAAACAGGCCTTGAAGAAGAATCTTGCACGTATCACATTTTCTCCTTCTTCAATGGCATTTTGGCTCCTGCTAAAGGGCCTCTTACATTTGAATGTAACTCGTTAAAGGAAAAGAGACCATGTCAAGTTATTCATTTTACCTGCCTCCCTAACTCTTAAAATAGAAAGGAAAATTATCTGATGATGTTTGGGGGCCCTTAAGAGGATTCTCTCAAGGGTTCTCCATAAAAATGGGATCCTTGGGAATGAAATGGACGGAACATTCAAGTTCTTATTTGATTTATATAATCAAAAGACAAACAAACAATTGAACCACGGACAGATTTGGTGACAGCGGGCTGATGTGAGTCAACACGCTGATGTATTACAGCCGCCTCCCTCCGTGACAAGCCTGTTAGTCATGTTAACTGCTGCGATGCCCCCTGGAGGGAAGGGAGCCTGGGGACCCAGAGAGAGAACTCTGTCCTAACACTGAAAGTCTTCTTTCGAGCTTATAGAAAAGTGACCTGAGTCGGTTAATTAGCAACCTGTGCTCTACAGACAAGAACATAGCTCAAATTTTTTTGAGAGATCCTGGATCTAAGTTAGTATCCATTCGTGACGGTGGGGAAGACATTGTCAGTGCAATCCTCTGATCAGAGTGGGGCTCATGAAAATTGAGGGATTCCTGGATTTTTTACGTAAGTCTTTCCTAGAGCAATTCAGTGGGGTCCTGAATTTGTTTCCCTTTTTTTTATGTGTACTGTTTGCAGGGGAGGGGGACACTTTTTTTTTTTAATCTACAACTGGCAGAATCTCCACAACTGTTAGTCTCTCCCTGGCCTGTGAAGGGAGGGCTTTTGCTGTAGAAAGGGCTGAGATGGAGTTGATGAGAATTCCCTTGAGTAAATCTGAAACATGAGCGCATTGCAGAGATCAGTTCTACCAACACAGACTTGAAATGTGCTGGGTGACAATTTCCCGTCACCCCA